GAAGCAGTGAATGGAAGGAGCCAAGAACCAGCCCCTCTTTCAATCCTTCCTTGAAAGAAGTGTGTGGCTCAGCTGCTGTTTCTCAAAATGGAAAATAATATTATATTACAGGGTAATGAATGGAGTTGAGGGGGGAGGAGCCCTTTTCTTTCCTTTCCTCCCAGATGGGCATTGCAATCCTTGGCTTCACACAACACCCTAGACCAGGGTTTCTCAACCTTGGCAACCTGGAGATGGGTGGACTTCAACTTCAAAGGTGGGAATCAGATTTGGGGGAGGAAGGTGAGTTAGAATTCAACCCCCCCCCCAGCTCTTATTACAAACCAGAGTGTGCTCGGTGTGTGGGTGTGCACACGTGTGCAGAGGCAACAGTTAGAGCAAGTGGAAACACACTCCTGGTTGCCACAAAACTGCTGGATAGTGTGTGAGGTGGGGGGATGAGATATACAGTAACAGGGAATCCGGTGCATGCCAGTCAACAAGACAGGTCAAGGTCTCTGAGTTTTATGGGAATCGGATGCAGAGTTTGGGTAGTTTTAATCCCCTTAATTTTATGGGGACTCTGTATATGGTGTGAACTCAGCCTGGGATCTGCCAGATCATGGAAAAAGAGAATGCAGTATCTGGATTAAGTGTGCTGTGTGAATATGGTCTGTGATGCCCTAAATAATGCCCCCAATTGAGGAAAGGGGGGGTAGAGCTGATGCCACAGTGCCTCCAGTCAGCTGGTCAGGTCTTTAAGAAGATGGCTTTGCGAAGGGGGAAGCATTTGACTCCAGACTCCAGCTGCCATGCCTCCAAAATGAGACCTTTTAATTCTAGCCTGCCTTTCTAGCAGATTTTCCTGGATTGTCCATTCGAAAACTGATGAGCCAGCTTTGTTCTGCTTCAGCAACGATGCCGTAGCTCATGTCATAGGATCAGCTGGCAGGCCCACAACCACCCCTCTCACCGCCACTGGCATCAGCCAAGGCTGCAACAAACACCCCAAGCCTGTCTCCTTCTCGTGTGCTTTCTCTCCTCTCTTGGGACCCGGGTTGGCCAAAACCGTCTCTGCCCTGCAGATCAAAGGAAAGTCCCACTTGTTCCAAAGGGACTTACTCTCGCGTAAGCACACATGGACTTTAAGGTTTTGCTCTTACCTGTCTCTCTTTTTTTGTAGCCAGAGCACTTTTAGCATTAGCTGAATAATTCAACTTTTGTAACCTACCAGCCCTGCTTTCGCTATTCAGGAGAGAGAACAAGAGACCGCCGATGTGAAACTTTCAGTTAATGGAGACCCTTCTGCCTGAAACAGAAGTTAGGGGTGGTTTTCTGGGGCGGTGGGAGCAGGGATGGCTGGGTACCTAAAATGCCAAAGAGGGGAGCGACAGGAAAGATTTTGGTTTGGTGCTTTACAGCAAGGAGGAGGCAGCTGGGAATGCAGCAACGCTATCAAACAACCTTGGTCAATGACCTTTCTGCATCACAGAAATTCTGGGAGAAGAGATGGCAGCGAACATGCAGATGGAAGGCTTTATGGGAGCAAAACCTATCCAAGTGCATTTCCTTAACTCAGTGAATTAAGCTTGATTGCTACAGAGCAAAAACGTGGAGTTGTTAATATCTAAACTCCAAGAAGCTCTGCTGGGGGGGGGGCGGTATTTCAGGCAGAGACACAGCTGGATAAATATTCCCCAAATTTGTGACAATCTCGATGTCATTAAAAGCCTGATTTTTAATGATGCACGTTGTTTTTTAAAACCCATTTCTGGTCCGCTTTCATTTCTCTTCCTCGCCCTAAAAAAGTCCCACCGCATCTCCTTCGTGAGAATTCGGAAATCTACCTACAGCCACTCTCTTTGTTCCTCCCCTTTTTCCTCTGACACGGAGACGGATTCTGACTGATTTTTGCTGGGAATACATGACGAGTTTCGGGCTGTATTTGAACCTCCTCCTCCTCCTCCTCTTCCTCCTCCTCCTCCTCCTCCTGAACAGCCGGGCTGCCCCTCCCTCACCGTTAGCTCCGAGCATCAGAGCTGCTGCGTCGGATTTAAGGAGGTTGCACTGAAATGCCACGTCTGATGGGCACAGACGGACGGGCTGCTGGGTGGGGGCAGCGGCACTCTGGGCCTTCCTCTGCATCCTGCTGCAGTGCAAGGAGGAGGAGAGAGCTGGTTCACACAACATGCTAAACCCGGGTCAACCAATAATTCCTCGGTTCACAGAATGTGCTGTGTCCAAACAGACAAGGGGCACCGGACGCTGAGCCACAAACCAGCCAGCCAATCTGTTTTTTGTGTTGACCAGCCTTGCCCATGTGATTAGTTAACGCTTCATTGACTGTGTTCACACAAAACACTTAACAAGTGTGTTAAAGACTTAGTGGCTGCATTTATACAATATGCAATAGGCCTGGTTAGTTTTACACAGGTTTTGTGTGTGTGTAGGCGTGTGTGGGTGTGTATGTATCTTAGCAAGTTGTGCAAACCATTTTAGAACATTTATGACTCAGTGAATTGTGCACACACAGGAGGGTTAATTCTGTAACTAAAATAAGGTGGGCAGCACCTCACCAACCTTAGCTGGCCACAGAAAGCTAAACAAGGCCTTGTTAATACTTGGATGGGAGACCACTTGGAAATCTCTGGAGTATGGGCTCAGACTGAGAAGCTGGAAAAAAATTATCCCAGAAGAAAACAGTGGCCAAATATTTCTGCCCTGCTGCCAAGATACAACGTGGGCTATTGCTCAGCAGTAGAGCCGCTCAGATGATGGCAACTGAAGTTTTCTTTCCTGTGAAATATTGAAGCTGCCGGAAGGTTGCTCTCTTCTGTATCTAGCAGGCTTACTCCGGAGAAAGTCCCATCAAAATCAGAGGGCTGAAAATCAGGGTAAGCTTGCACAGGATTCCTTTAGAAGTTAGGTAAAGAACAACTTAAATTACTCACAACTACCGTAAGTAGTTGATCAGACCCTTTAATGTGCAAAAATTCTACATTCTACGTTTTATTTACCTATTAAAAGCACTACCTGCTCTTCATTCTAAAACGCTAAAATAATCCCAAAGCGATATTATCATCCGCAAAAGCACGTACAATGATATTCTCCGCCACTTAAAGCAAGGAAGGCGATTATTTCTAAGGGTGAGCCTTTTTAAAAAATTGCTCCCCAGCCTTATATCATCCCTACTGTATCCCTGCTCCCTTCCTGCTGAGTCCGGACCAAGCCCTTCTACCATTTCCATGTACCGCAGCTTGGCTGTAAATTGAATTTCTGGTTTCGAGATTTTTGCAGGTTTAGTTGGTCAAGGCTGAATCTGTGCACAGCAGTTCAGTGGAAAAGATGATTTTAGAAATGCTTAAAATGAAACATGCAAAATATATAACAAGAGTGTGCCAGTGCCTTCTATGCTGGGGTTTCTTCTTCATCTTTCATCATCCCTTCTTAACATGATGGCTTGGATTTCAGCTCCTATAATTTCCTGGCAGGCTTTCTGAGGATGACGGGAGCTGTACCCAACATTTTTTGAGGGTACGAGAGAAAGTTCTCCCTCCAGTTATATTCCTTCTACCTGGAATTCCCTTCCAGCAAGTATATAACTCCACAACATGACATGAAATGTACATTGCCTGCAAACTTCTCTGGTGCTTCGCGTTTGTCGGTAAAGGCAGACTATTATGGCTGTAAGTCTAGAAAACCATTATTAGTTAACGCAAGCTAGGCACTTCCAGCCAGACACCTTCCAGATCTTTTGGAACTTCCAACTCCCAGAATTCAGAGCCACCTTTTGACCAAAAAATGGGGTGAATTCTGGGAGTAACCATCGCAAGACATCTGGACAGCAGTGATTCATCTCATACTGATATAGGGTTAGTGAAACACGTGCAGAAGCGAGCAACCAAGTTATTGAAAGTGTGTCTAAGTTTGGCGGAGAAAAACAAAACTGGGTGCATCTTCTTTGGAGATGAAACATCTTAGCCGGGGTATATCCAGATGTGGGTGTGTGTTGGGTGTATTAATTAAATTCGTTGGTGATGTTCTTCAAGCAGGGTATTGGACTAGAGCAGTGTTTTTCAAACTCGGGAACTTTAAGATGTGTGGACCTCAACTCCCAGAATTCCCCAGCCAGCATGGGTTTGAAAAACACTGGATTAGATGGTTTACAAAATCCCCCAGCTGTGCCATTTTATGGAGGGTGAAGTCCAACATGTTCCCTGTTTCTTGCTGAGATTAAAGCCGAAGGACCTGGTCCAACCAGGGGAAAACAACCCAACATCTTTGTCCGTTTTGTCTGTTACCAGAACAAGGATCTCCAGCCCATTGTATAGCTTGGGTGGGAGAAAAAGGCACGAGAAGCTGAACATTGCTTCTGCTATGACCATGACTCACGTTTTGTACACAGAAGCCATTGGAATTCTTTCATGATGGCTTCTCGGTTTTTGTTCAATCAAACTACCTTATTCTTGTGGGTCGTTTCCCTGGTTACTGCCTAGCTGGTGGGAGGCACCCGACAGTGGCCCTGTTTGCCCCAGAGTTCAGGGCATGTGTGAAAGGAGAGTCTCACAGTCATACCTTTTTGGTGTGGGTTCAGCACTGACCTTTAAAATTAAGTATATTCCCCCCATTGGATGCCCCAGCCAGAAGGTGAATTAGTCTTTCAGGATACCCTCTACAGAGTTAGCAAGATCTTTGTGAACCTCCAAACGTTGCAAATAATTGTAGTGCCAGAACGGGTTCTTGGCTTCCTCATAAAAAGCCAGGTGGGGTGGACAGTCCCCAAGGCAGGGCACCAGGGCAGACGTTCCCTACCTCTGTTTTAGTGCCCATCTGACCTCTTCCCTGCCTTCTTCTCTGGCCACTGCACAGCGTGGTAAAGCTGCAGTTGACGCTGTGGCACAGACTCACCCCTCCGAGCACATTACCCGCTCTCCTTTCTCTCCCCCCTCCTTTCGCACAGGTACCTGCGGACCCTCTACTTGGGTCTCCAGAGCCGGTGGCAGTCCGAGCATCGCCAGCGCCATTTTTACTGGAGGATGATGTTCGAGAGTGCTGACATCAGTATGCTGCGTCTTCTGGAGACCTTTCTCAAGAGTGCCCCCCAACTGGTGCTGCAGCTGAGCATCATGGTGCAACTGAACCGGATTGACCCACTGCAGGGTGAGGGCAGTGCGCTCCCGTTGTGACGGGGGGATCAGAGGAAGGGGTGTGAAGGCGTGGGGAAGCTGAGAGCAAATCAGATGATCTCAGAAGCTCCCCAGGTGGAGAGAGATCTGGCAAAAGCTTTTCAAAGAAACTCCACTTTAGGAACTCCGTATAAATGGGGCTGGGAAATTCCTAGGACGGTTTCCTAGATTCTGTCTTTAACCCAGATTCAAGATTCCTTACTGAAACCCATGTTGCCGTTCCTTCCTTGGCCATGCTAGTTACACGGGGCGTGATAATTCCCCATCCCAGTTCCAGCTTGCCCAGCCCCTGGTCTCTGGGGGGTCATCCCCAGGGGCAGAAGCGTCCATGGGTGCGTGTCAGAAAAGTTAAGAAGGTGGCTGTGATTGCAGAGTCACGGCCACCATCTTGACCCTCCCCAGCAGACACCCCAATATAGGGGGAACAAGTGCATTCTTAAATTTGCTGCCCGTGAACTTTTAACAACTGAACGATGCCACTTTTATGAAGCTGCAGGTGGAATTCCTGCATTCCAGCCTTCTAGAGCTTGATGTGCTACAAACGCTACATTGGTGGGCAATGGAAGTAGCTTCCCCATCAACGGGTACTTGGTTGGGAAAGGCTGCTCTGTAACTCATCGTGATGGCCAGGTCATTCCCTTGGCAGCCCTCGGCCTCTGAGACAAACTCTTCATAAGGAACCGTCTTTTCCTAGGACACGGCTGGTTTCAGCTGTCCATACCTCCTTCCCTTACTGTATTTTTAAAACCCCAGTAGAGGAAAGCCCACATCGAGCACCAGAGAATTGGAAGGAGCTGCTCAGGCCGCCGAGTGAACCCCAGTTCACGGCGCCCACCGTCTCTAGGTCTGTCACTTTGTTTTGACTTACTCCTCCTTTCCCACGAGTGTACGCCGATGCAGCTGTTGGGTTGTTACACTTCCACCTTCCTTCTCCTTCTCTGTGATCTCCCTCCAGGGTGTTCTCTCCTGGTCTCCTCTTGGTTCCTCTTCAGGTCAATCCCCTTTTTCCCTCTCCCCATCCAGTCCTGCCATCTGGCCTCCTCCAGCTTCAGCTCCATTTCTTTCCCGGCGATCCTTCAGTAACGCTCTTTCTTCTCCCTAATTCTTTGCTTCCCTTTGTCTCTCTTTTCCTCTTGGGAAGGTCTCTCAGCTTCTGCCTCGCTGGTGTCTCTGGCTTGGACTCTAGCCTCTTACCAAAAGGTGCTGCGGGACTCCCGAGAAGACAAGATGCCCATGTCCTACAAAGGTGCAGTGGTCCAGATCCTGTGGCACCTCTTCACCATTGCCGCCCGAGCCATTGCCTTTGCTGTCTTTGCTTCCGTGTTTCAGCTCTACTTTGGCATCTTCATAGTTACCCACTGGTGCATCATGACCTTCTGGATCATCCAAGGTGAGACGGATTTCTGCATGTCCAAGTGGGAGGAGATCATCTACAACATGGTGGTTGGTATCATCTACATCTTCTGCTGGTTCAACGTCAAGGAAGGCCGCAGCCGTTGCCGCATGTCCATCTACTACATCATCACCCTGTCGGAGAACGCCGCTCTGACGGGCCTCTGGTACTGGTTCCGGGAACAATACGTGATCTCCGAATTCTATGCCTTGATCATTGTCTGCGTGGTGGCCTCCAGCTTTGCTTTGGGAGTCTTCTTCATGTTCATCTATTACTGCCTCTTGCATCCCAACGGAACCATTTTTGGGCCCCAGAACGCAGGCTGCATATGTGGGGAGGAGTCTACCGCGGTCCCCAGGGGTGCAGGGCCCCCGCCGGACGTGATCACCAGCCCGCCGCGCTCCTTGCCAAGGACTACAGGGGCAGAGAGGGAGGGGATGCCTGGGGACAGAGACAGCTGCGGGCCAGTCTTTCAGGTCAGGCCCAGCATGCCTCCCACGCCCATTGCCCGGGCCCCACGGACAGAGGGGCCCGTCATTCGCATTGACTTGCCACGGAAGAAATATCCTGCCTGGGATGCCCATTTTATCGACAGGCGTCTCCGCAAGACCATCCTGGCTCTTGAGTACACCTCCCCGGCTACGCCGCGCCTACAATATCGCAGCATGGGGGCATCGCAGGAACTGCTGGAATATGAGACCACGGTGTGAGGCGGCCCGGCAGCCCGGAACCTCTGGGCCTGGCGTGGAGGGACCCTTCCTGGGGCCATTGGCTGAACCTGGGTTCAAGCAGCCCGAGTGAGCAGGCCTTGGGCCGTCCCCGTCCTTTTCGGGGGGCGGTGGGGGGGGTAGTCCCGGAGGCAGCAGGCTGTTCCATTCTCACGTTACTCTTTCGGTTTGTCATTCCTCCTCCACACAGCCCCGGCTGCCCTCGGCTCTCCCTTGCAATGGTGGCCAACTGGTGCTATTTGCTTCTCTCTGAGCTCACCATATGGGCTATGCAGTGGGGGTGGGGTGGCTCCCCACCAGTACCCCCGTGGGCAGGCCCCCAGTTTCTCCTCCTGCCCAGGTTGCGTTTCAGGAGGGACGCCCCTTCCCAGCCACAGCCACCCTCCAAATACCTCACTGTGACCTGAGCCAAGGCCATCAAGGGCTTCTCTTCTCTCTGGCGTCCAGGAAAAAGGTTGGCTGAGGGTGGGGGGGGTGGCACGCGCAGAGGGTGGCACCTCTGTGATGGGCAGGGGACGGTGAGAATTGCAGAACCCAAGGGAGCCCGGGGGGGGGGGGGGATGGCTGTAGGGCAGGAGGAGGAATGAATTTTAGGCTGCGGGCAACTTCCTGGCATTGGGGTTAGGGATTTGGTGCCAGGACTGGGATATCGCTGGGTGCTTGCTTCTGCTCGGACAGGACCAGGGGGCTGACAAGTTCTCATGCAGGAAGCCAAAGCTGGCATTGAAAAGCAGGACTGTTCACCCCATTTTGTATCCCCTCAAGCTGAGCAGAAAGACCCCCCCAAGACAGCAGACCATCAAGCAGTAGCTGCTTGGGAGGTCCCGGGAGGGGGTCTGGAGCGCCGTTGGGTGTCCTCATTTCACGGACTGGGGGGGACACCGTGAGGATGAATTGCACCCATTCCCACGTCTGTTGGTAAACCTCCGTGTGGATTCCAGATGAACAAGAGGGCTTCCAGAAAGAGCTGATCCGATTCCAGGACCCACTGACAGAAAGTGTGCCATTAAAACCCAAGTTGGAGTGAGTATTAAAGGGGGGTTATTAGGTTTATTATTGCAGGAGGGTTATTAGTATTAGCCTTCCCACAGGCAGGCTGCAGATGTGGTGGGAATCCAACTCCCAGAATTCTCAGCTCCAAAGCTGAGCGTCCAAAGGAATTCTGGGCATTCTAGGAGCTGCCATCCCAAGAGAAGCCACCAGGGGGAGAAACACTAATTATCATTCGAACTCCCTCCAAGGAATCCTGGGAATTAGCTAAATGGTGCCAAATTAGGGCTCGTTCTCTATTCGGGACATCTCAAGCTCACAGCCTTCTGGATGACTGGACTACAGTTCCCATCACTCCAGCCAGCAAGGCCATTAGCCGTACTGGCTGGGAGTCGTTGGGACTGTAGTCTGAGATAGCTCCAAGGCCGGTGCTACCTGGCTGGGTCAGATCCCAACAGCTCTCAGCTAGAAATGCCAAAGGTCTTGTTGGCTTCCAGGACTATCCGTGGTTAGCAGGTAGTATCAATGTAGTAGAAAAAACAATAGAGAGTGTTTTCTCTGTTTAACCCAAAGGGGACCTTGAGTAGGTCAGCGATGGCATCTGATAACTGGTAGGGCAAGGTTTCTCAACCTCAGCAGCTTTAAGCTGTATGGACTTCAACTCCCAGAATTCCCCAGCCAGCCATGCTGGC